TTCTACAAGTGGAGATCCAGTTTTGCCAGCACCATTTGCTAAACATGCTGTCTTTCCTCCAGTTAATGTTCTTGGCCCCTTTGTCAAATATCAGGTGGCTAAAATTGCAATTACTCATATTTGGGTCTTCAATTTTGTTCCATATTATTTCTATTTTACGTGTATGTGTGTATTGCCTGCATGTAGGTAAGTGCACCCATGCTGTGCAGTGCCCGCGGAGGACAGAAGAGGCTGTCGGATCCCCTGGAACTGGAGTTACGGACAGTTGTTAGCTGCCATGTGGGTGCTGGGATTCGAACCTGAGTCTTCCGCAAGAACAGTCAGTGTTCTTAACCACTGAGCCATCTCTCCAGCCCCTGCAAAAATGCTAAAATATTTTTATATCCATATACAAAAAAGCTAACTCTAAGACCTAACACTATATAACTGTAAGCACAAAGTGGAGTATAAGCTTAAAATAAAGCTGAATACATTATGAGGTTCTGTAGAGCTGAGGAAAATGACTGTGATTTGAGATTAGGTGATGATTTCTGAAATATAACTTTGAAAAGACAGTTAAAACTATAAGCACAAAGTGGAGTATAGGCTTAAAATAAAACTGAATACATTATGAGGCTCAGAAGAGCTGAGGAAAATGACTATGATTTGCGATTAGGTGATGATTTCTGAAATATAACTTTGAAAAGACAGTTATACAGAAATAAAATAGTGCTCATCAAAATTCAAAAGTTCTGCTCCTCTCAAAAAGTACTTTAAGAAAATTAACAAGATAAGCCCCAGTTTCAGAGAAAATATTGGCAAATGTGTATGTAAAAAGGACTGTCATTGAGAATGAAGAAACTTTGAACCCCATAGTAAGAAAATAGATCACCTGATTAAACAGCAGGCAAAATACTTGTGTTTCAGAAAAAAAGTAGATGCATTTTCCTGCTCTTTTCACTAAATGCAAGTAACAACCTTGATCGCTGTAAGGAAATTAAAAAACATGGGATGGAAAGGTGGTGAGAAAACTGCACACTGCCTGTGAATGTCAGAGACTAGGAAACAACATGGTGCCAAGGTCCTTGGGTTTCCTTTTCTCTGACTTGGTTAAAAAGCTGTAACCAAGAAATGGCTAAGGCATAGACAAACAAAACAAACAGAAAAGCCTGCTTGCTGGAGACAAAAGGACAGGAAAGAGACAGCCTATTAAAAATGAACACTTTTAGACAATAGCTGCTCTAGTCCAGGGAAACACTATAGGAAAAAAACCTATGACCCCCTCCATGTCAACAAGGGCTGATATTTCTACCCTCACCAGGGATAAGGTTAATAAAGAGTACCCTACCAACTGCTGGGATGGTGTAAGAGAGGCTGGCTAGGGAGACTGAACTTTTTTTTTTTAATAATTTATTGAGCATTTCATACATGCATATAAGGTGTTTGATCAAATTCATGCCCAGTCCCTCCCTTCCAACTCCTCCCATATCTCCCCATCACTTTTTTCTGATAACTGTGTACTCTTTCTTCTTTATTTTTTTAATGGGGCTTTTGGCTACTCTAACAGTCCCCCCTCTGAAGAGGTAACCCTAAAATCTTTTAAGGATTAGATAAAAGCTCCCAAATATTTTCGACATTTTTGGCCTTTGGAACTGAGTATTGAGGCCATGTGCTCTGTGGCCCAGAAAGGCCATGAGAGGCAACAGAACTCTCAAGCCACTCAGTTATGAGTCCCTTCCTCCTTGGGACTCCTGAAGGAAACCAGAGCCTCCATTCCCACCTGGCAGTAACCATGCTGGAGCAGTGTTCATGAAAGCCAGCTAAAGCAAGCTTCAGATCCAGAATCTTATCCCAAATGTGCAGGACTCAGAAACTGAAAATCAATTATCATGCCAATAACCAGAAAAATCTCACCTTGAATGAAACGGAGACAACCCTTGGATAGCAACACTGAGATGACAAAGATGTTAGAATTACCTGACAAGAATTTTAAAGCAGCCATCATAAAAATGCTTTCATGAATAGTTAGGAACACATTTGAAACAAATGGAAAAAAAATCCAAAGACTCTACAAAGAGAAAATTTCAGGCAAGAAATGGAAACTATTGTGAAAGAATTAAATAGAAATTTTAGAAATGAAATATATAACTAAAATAAAATGTTTGGTGACTGGATTCATGAGGAGAACCAAGGAGACAGGGGAAAGAATCCTGAAAACAAAAATAGAATCTGAAAGACAGAGGAAATGGAACAGGAGGAGAATGAACAGAGCTTCCGACTGTGGGACCATAACAAACTCCAGGCTGTCAGAGCTCTGGAAGTCAAGTGGGGATGGTGTTAAAATATGCTCAGAGAAGTGACAGCTGAAAATTTGTCAAATCCAGCAAAAGACACAAACCAAAGAGTCAAGAAGCCAGTCAAGCTCCCAATGGATGGAACACAAAGAAATCCATAGTAAGATGCATACTTGAATGTGAAAAAAAAATTGAAGGCAGCAAGAATCAAATGGCAAATTCAAATCCAGATTGGAATGATGGCATATTTCTCATAAATACGGAAGTTAGAAGAGGCCCAGCATTTTTCAAGAACTAAAAGTAAAAGCACTGTGACCCAGAATTCTGTGTCTAGAGAAAATTTCCTTCAGAAGTGATGGAGAAACCAAGAAATTAGATATTCCTTAAAAGAATGACTATAGGAAAGAGATGATGAAAGAGGAGGTTTGGAACTTTAGGAATAAATTGTGAGAGTCAGAATAGGTAAATACTATATTTTGCTACTCCTTTTGGGTTTTCTAAATTATGTTTAATGGTTGAAGCAAAAATATAAGTCTGTCTTCTGTGGTTCTAAATATACAGAGAGGAAATGCTTAAAATCGTGCTGTTAATGGAGAAAAACAAAAGGAGGTGAAGTTTCTGCAGTCATTTTCCCTTATAAAACCATGACATCTGTAGATTATGATGTTATATAATACCTAAAGAAGCCACCAAAAATTATATACAGAGATACACTAAAAAGGCCTATGGATAAATCTGAAGGGAATTATACTAAATATTAGCATAATCCATAAATAGGTAGGAGAAAGAAAATAGAAGAGGGCAGAATAAAGAAACAAAGACAGACTAAAGTCCTAATTTGACACATTAAATGTAAATGGCCTAAGTAAACCAGTTAAAAATTTAAGGTGGAACAGGATGCCAGCTTAAGGCACAGACCACCGCATTGTAGTCTGTTCCCGCAATTCAGTCTTGATTGTCTCTTGAGAGCCATGGAGAGCGATTTTTACCTGTGTTACTACGTGGGTCACAAAGGCAAGTTTGGTCATGAGTTCCTGGAGTTAAAGTTCCAACCGGATGGGAAATTGAGATATGCCAACAACAGTAATTTTAAAAATGATGTCATGATTCGAAAAGAGGCTTATGTACATAAAAGTGTGATGGAAGAATTAAAGAGAATTATTGATGACAGTGAAATCACCAAAAGGAAGATGATGCTTTGTAGCCACCTCCTGATAGAGTAGGCTGGCAAGAGCTTGAAATTGTCATTGGAGATGAACACATTTCTTTCACAACATCAAAAATTGGTTCCCTTATTGATGTCAACCAATCTAAGGATCCAGAAGGCTTATGGGTGTTTTATTATCTTGTTCAGGACCTGAAGTGTCTAGTCTTCAGTCTTACTGGATTACACTTCAAGATTAAGCCAATCTAGATTGAATATTGTGAACTTCAGGGGCGTGGGAGTAGTTTTTAGTTACCATAATTAGGAAACTTTTGTGTATATTGAGGAAATTTTTTATAAACAATAAATGATGGTCTTTAATAAAAGCTGTAAAATCCAAAAAAATTTAAGATGAATAGATTTAAAATGTGACCCATCTTTATGCTGTCTATAAGAGACATATTTCAGAAATGTTAACGTTAATCAAAGACTAGTGGTTACATTAATGTCAGATAAAGTATGCATCAGAGGAAATTATCAGAGCTAGAGAGGGACATTATTACATAAGAATCCACCCACCACAAGATTTTGCTATCTGAAATGTAGTTATAGCACACAATAAGCCTCAAAATATATGAAACAAAAAGTAAAACTGAAAGGAGAAATAGGCAAATCCACAATCATAGGTGACAGCTTCCATAGGCCCCTCAATCAACCACTGGTAGAACAAGTACATACAAAGTCAGCAAATATATAGAAGTCAGCAACACCATCAACTAATAGAATCACATTGTCATTTATCGAACACAACAGCAAAATGATGCACATTCTGTTCAGTTAGCCATAAAACTTAGATACCAAATGGATCATGTAGGCTCTGGCCATAAACCAAGCATTAAAAGAACTGGCATCAAGCAGAGTATCTTCTTTTTTTAAAAAAAAAATTTATTATTTTTATTTTATGTGTATGAGTGCATTGCCTGCATATATGTGAGTGAACCTGTGTTGTGCAGTGCTGTGGAGGTCAGAAGAGGGCTTCGGATTCCCCTGGAACTGGAGTTAAGGATGGTTTGTAGCTGCCATGTGGGTGCTGGGAATCGAACCTGGGTCCTCTGTAAGAGCAGTCAGTGCTCTTAACTGCTGAGCCATCTCTCCAGCCCCGCAGAGTATCTTCTTTAGCCACAATAGAATTAAAGTAGAAAATAAAACCTACAAGACTTGTTGATTACAATGCAGTGTTTCACACATGAGCAGTGACTGTTAGTATTGGGCGGGGGGGCGGGGGCATGAGAACACCAGTATGGATACTACATGCCTCTCAGGAGTTCATTGTAGGAATTGGCTCATGTAGCTGTGGAGGCTGAGAAGTCCCATGATATGCAGCCTGCAGATCCAGAAGGAACGCCTATGATGGGGGCTCTGACAGCCTGCACAAACTTGAGCACATGAACATTCAAGGAAGGAAAGGACGGGCATTGCTGTGTTAAAATCAGGCTTTATAGCTATTTGACATGAAGAATTTTTGTTTTTAAAATACCATAAATTGACTTGGTGTTCCATTTAAATGTTTCACTTAATTTCAGATTGAAGAAGAAATAAAGGGATGCTTAGAATTTTTGCAATCGGTTTACTCAACATTTGGCTTCTCCTTTCAATTAAACCTGTCAACAAGGCCTGAAAACTTTCTAGGAGAGATTGAGATGTGGGAGGAAGCTGAAAAGGTAAGAAACAAAGGACCTTCCCTTCATTCTTGTGATGAAAAAGACCTGAGAAATTGCATTTCTCTAGTGCGCTGGGTAGCTTATCAACTTGACACACCTGGATAGAGGACGCCTCAATTGGGGGATTGCCTCCATTGGACTAGCGGCCATGTGTGTGGGATGTTTTCTTAATTGTTGAGTGACATGGGAGGGTTTAGCCCACTGTGGGCGGTTCCATCCCTGGGCAGGTGGTTCTGTACCGTATGAGAAAGCAGGCTGAGCAGAGACCAGGGGAGTAAACCAGAAAGCAACATTCCTCCATGCATGTGCTTCAGCTCCTTCCTCCAGGTTCCTGCCCTTGGGCTCCCTGATGAACTGTGACCTGGGAGATATAAACCAAACAAACTCTTCCCACCCCCAAGTTGGTATTGGTCAGAGTGTTTTGTCACAGCAATTGAAAGCAGACTAGAACACCTAGAAAATTTAAAATGAGAAGTTACGGGATAAGTATGCAGACTTAGAATGTGGTTAGCCAGCTCTCCTTATAATAATAATCATAAGAATATCTTATATTTCACACTTTAAAGTTTCTACCATTTTCATTTATCCTCTTTCAAAGCCAGTCACAAATAATCAGGATAAGTTTTAGAAGCTATTTTAAAAGAGTAGATCGATTTACAGTAACTTAGTTTATGTGGTTTATTTTAAAGCATTTGCCTGTGGCTTTATCTTAGTCTGACAGTTTTGGATGGAAAAACACTCAGCTGATGCTAGAGGCCCCTTCCTGTCCTGCTGCAATGCCCACACTATTTGACTCTCCCAGACACAGACATCACCTTTCAGCTTTGAAAAGCCAAAGCTAAGGAGCACACTGTGTTTTTTTTTTTTTTTTCTTATTAAACATGAAAAGGCTGTGGTGCATCCAGTATTAGTTTTTATTAGAGATGAGGATGGTGTTGTGACCTGACACCCTGCTCCACCTGTCAGAATACTTACAGAGACTCAATATGCACCAGAAGGAAGAAGAATCAAGGAAACACTGTATGAAGAGTGTAACAGTTAGGCTTATGTTGTGAGCATACAGATGCCAGGCAGAAATGCACAGAAGTAGGTTAGGCTTGAGAGTCTAACAGTATCTCCTCCCCATGGTCCCCGTGCCCTCCCTGTCTATTAAATGGAAGATGAAAGTCAAATGAGATAGCTGACCTCAGGAAGGATGTTGACTCAGTTTACCTGACAATCACATGGAAGTAGGAAAAGGAAAAAAAAAATGGGTGCAAAGCTTGACTTAGCCATTCTACCTCCTTTCCCACATCAGCTCTTTAGGTAAACTGAAGCTCTGAGCATCAGGATTGAATGTGAGATATGATGATGGTAGTGGTGATCTGGTGATAACACCTACTTCAGAAGGCTGTGGTGAGCTTAGATGATTAATTTATATGAGCTAATAATGGGCACAGTGCCAGGCTCATATAAATGCCCAGTGGGTATTAGTGTTGGTGTCACCATCGCCATTGCCATCACTCCAGGTATTTGGAATTAAGTGAGTTGTGGGGAGCTAATAGAGGGGCAAACTGGCATGGGGCTAGCGGGCTGGAAGTCCCACTGTTTTTGCTCTTTTTCCTTGATGTGGAAAAAGTTTAGCAGCCCAGCCTGAAGCCACCCAGGAATATGGCATTAAGGATGAACCTTCCTCATCTAGGGATTTCTCTGACAGTGACCACCCTTGATCATCTGTGAATCAGTGAAATGAACATTTGAGTGTTTGTTGTTGTTTGTTGTCTTCACAAGTCTCTGCAATGACTTGAAAGACATAGCTTACATGAATTTAAAGCTTTCTTGGCCCTGCTCCATAGCCTTCTCTGCTCCTATTGAGCTGCCTCATCCTTGTGTCTCCAGAGGCCTGATAAAAACTGGTAACCTCTGCTTTACGCCCTTCTCCAAACCTTGGCCTTTCCTTGGCTTTTTAATGCCCTGGAAGTTCCAGGACAGTCACTGTCACAGGGCCTCAGTTTTCCTCTACCTAGTGTTTCTTGTTCAAAACCAGAATAGAATAGGGATGAACCTCCCACAACTGTGAAGCACCTCTATGGAGGTGGCCTAGGGAGAAAGGAAGCTGCTTCTGCAGGGTTAGGCTAACAGGGACACTTCTGGCATCTCAGGAATGCAATCTCTATCTTGTCAAGAACACATCCTGATTGGGACTCTGGGAAAGCCTGCCTTGACCCCAGGAGTCAGCTCCTAATTAACTCTCTAGCTGCAGCCCAAATGCATCACGACTGCTTTGACTTGTCCAATACCCTCTTCATTCCAAAGAACCCTCCTGAGCTCTCATATATCTGAGTTATATAGAATGGAATTTGGCTAGAGTTCTGACATATTTTGTCCAGGTGCTCCCCAGAGAAGTTGGCCCCTCTTATTAGTGATAACCATCAGTGCAAAGCATCTTCACCATAGGCTACATCCAAACTTGTACTGGCTTAGGCTGGAGACCACAGTGAGACCTGTCCCCACACCCCATTAACTCATAAGCAATGTCTCCAATCACAGCAGAGGTCAAGGAAACACAGCAGAGAAGTGGTGGCGAGTTTTCATCTTACCTGTCACACACACAGTGAGGGGCACAAGACCATGGCCCCTATGCTTCTTCATGTGTAGAGGCCCCACCTCAAGGAGGGACAGGTCTTGGACCTATCACTAGGAGACATATGTGGAAGTGTGTAAGTAAGAAAGGGCCCACATTGGATAAAAGGCCCAAGGATCCCTTTCCTAAAATCTTACCTGGAATTTTCCAGAACAGTTGGGGAAAAAGTGTCTCATTTTCTCTCCAGTTAAAATGTAGATTCACTGTTCAGAGCAAATATCATTTCAATCATCCTTATGTAGTCCCTACTCAGTAGTTTATTGGATATACAAGGTGCTCAATAGGATATGTTGAGTGAAGGTAGGATGTAATTATTATGTATAGCAAGTTATTTTTATGAGCTGTATGATCAAAAGGTGATGAATATATAATAAAGCAGAAGTTTTTAATGATCTCTTCTTAAAAATAAAATAGCAACTTCAAAACAGCTTGATGGAATTTGGAAAACCATGGAAAATGAACCCAGGAGATGGAGCATTCTATGGCCCTAAAGTAAGTAGAACATACACTTCCAAAACAAGTCAAGTTAAAAAATAAATATGTCTCTAACCAAGTATTACTTAATTTTCAGATTGATATAAAAATTAAAGATGCTATTGGCAGATACCATCAGTGTGCTACAATTCAGCTGGACTTCCAACTGCCTATCAGGTTTAATCTCACATACGTTAGGTGAGTGATTCTGATATCTTGTTTGTCATCAATGCATGTGCAACACAATTATCCGTAGTGCATGCTATACACTATGTATTTGTTCACCTCCTTGTGATCTAGTAGGGGATTTTCTTCATCTATTTTGTGTTCCTGTATAAAAATTCTGGCTACTTTATAAAGAAAAGAGGTCTATTTGGCTTTTAATTCTGGCAGCTCTAAAGTCCAAACAGCATGGCCCAGGCATCTGACAAGGGTCTCTGCTGCTTCTCAACATAGAAGAAACATGAAAAAGAAAATAGCTTTCTGTAAAAGACAGCAAATGTATGAGGCAGTCCTGCTTTGCAGTAACTTGATCTCTTGAGAACTAACCCAGTCATATGAGAACTAAATTAATCCCTTCCTGGGGTAATGCTCCCATGACCTAATCACCTCTCACCAGGTCCAGTCTCTCAAAGACCTACCACCTCTTAGACTAGGGTAGAGCCTAGTGATAAAGCACTGCTTCTTAGCATATGTCAGGCCCAGGGTTCCATTCCCAGCACTATAAAA